TGAGGGTGAGCACGGATGTTTGTTCGTCTCTGTGTGGCCTGCGATTGGCGGGCAACCGATTCAGGGTGTCCCCCGCCTACTGCCCGAAGACAGCTGGGATAGGCTCCAGCACCTCCCACGACCCTTGTGAGGATCAAACGGTTCAGAAAATGAATGAATGAATATATATATATATATATATATATATATGTATATAGTAATATTAAGGATAGTCATACTAAACAGCTGCAACTACATGTTTCACTGAGTCTAAGGTCCAATTATCAATATTGATCCAGGCACAGGCCTAATCAATGAAACTGTAATGTTTAAAACTAATTGTCAATTTTATTTAAAACAACAAAAATATGAAATGAAGTAATTTTGAAGTCAGCTGGGATAGGCTCTAGTACGCCCACGACCATCGTGAAGATAAAGCAGTTTGATTATGGATTGACGGGAAGGAAGTACAGTAGTTGAATAAAACTAGTAATGAGAGAGAGAGAGAGAGAGAGAGAGAGAGAGAGAGAGAGAGAGAGAGAGAGAGAGAGAGAGAGAGAGATTTGGCTTTCAGGTGAAATTTATGGAAAATGTAAAAAGTTCACAGTACAGTGATCATGAAAGCGGGACATTTAAGTGGAAGGATGCACTGGTGATTTCCTCATCTCAAACAATTCATTGAAACAAAGGTGAGAGTTTCAAGCCTCTACACGGTGACTCAGCTGATCCCACAGGTTTTCAACAGGATTCGAGTCTGGAGAAAGTGCAGGCCATTCCATTTGAGGTACATCAGTCTCCAACAGCCGTTCCCTGATGCTGCGACTTTGATGAGCTGCAGCATTGTCGTCCATGAAGATGAAATTAGGCCCGTGTGGTTCATGTAGGCCAGGGGTGGCCAACCCACAGCTCGCGAGCCGCATGCGGCTCTTGGGCTGGTTCAATGCGGCTCCGGGGCTTTCATATGACAAGAGTTGAAAACGACTCCGTGGTGGCGCTGACTTTAAAACAACTGCGGTATGGACAGCAGAATTTACGATGTCAGCCTATCATCAATCCCGTTACTTGATCGACATACAGGTCAGCCAGTCAGATGACAACTGAATCACCGCACATGCACAAAGAACGGCGCTAAGCTAGTCAGCGAATTACCTCTGATTTTGAGGCAAGGGTGCCCAATGCGTCAATCGTGATCGACCGGGAGCCAACGGACTGGTCGCAAGTCGACCGCGAGGGTTGCGAGGAGGAAATAGGGGGTGGTGGGGGAACTTTGTGTGTCTGTGTGTTTCGATTTCCTTCATGTTCGGTGATGTTGCGGCTGTCGTTCATCTAGACGTGCGTGCATAAGTGCACATGTGCGTACCTATTTACATGAATTTCATTAAAAATATTATTGTAAGCACTTTATGTCCTGAATACTCGATAATAGTAAATACTAAAGTGTAGTAGTATTTTTAATTAACCATTAAAGTCCACTCAGATAAAACAGATCATTAAAATTGAAAAAAAAAAGTTTGATATGATGGAAGAAGAGCACTGCATTTCCCAGAATACCTTTCTTTATCTAAGTCTTTAAAATGGCTGACCAAACATTTTGAACAGGTCGTTTTGGAGCTATGTGATGAGAATGATTTTTTCTGAATTGCATTGAATTCACTGATAATACCTCACATTCAGTTCAACATCTTGTTGGGTGGAGTCAATTCAAAATCAGAATCCATTTAATCGAACTGAACTCTCAAGTGTCATCTCCTCTTGTAGTGGCTTGGGTGAACTTTTCTTTATTTTTTCAGAACTAAAAATGAGCAATGCAGCTTTAAATTTACAAGCTCTGAAAGGTGATATTGGTTCCTTGAAAAATAAAACAAACAATTATGGCAGTCTATCTTTTTCCACTGTAAAAAGATGGACCAATTTTGCACTCATTGAAACATCATCAAATGGTATTGGAGTCACATGGGAGAGCTCAATAGGTGCTCTCAAGAGGATGAGAGCAGATGTATGCTCTATTCTCCAAGACATCCTTGGCAATCTTCTTAATGCTGGCATCATTGTTCTCAGGAGAGTCTGCAAGTTCAAATGATTAAGGAAAGAATTAAAAATCAAAGTCATTCATTTACATACAATAATCGACACGCTAAGACCAATACCATGACATACCGGTGCCATCTGGGTCGGCAAATTCTACGTGTTATATTTCTACCTATACATTCGTAGTTTGTCTTGATATGACTGACGATTTGATGTGGTAGCTTCCTAGTGGTTATCACCTTATCAAGTAAAGCACCCTTTCAAGAAAACCTTTTTGATTGTTTTAATGTACATCCACAACATTACCCCTACAACCACATCATCGATGTAGACATTTTTAGGCAACAAATTGTCTTTTGCTGGGTAATACTTGTGAACCGCAAAAACATTTAGCCACAACACCCCCAACACCACCCCGATGTATTTTTTTTTTTTTTTTTTATGGGGGGCATTCAATCTAAAGGTCCTCTTATGGCAGAGAAAGGACAGGAAGAATTTGCAATAAATCGTCGAGGCAAAACCTCGGGTGTGGGAAGAGTTCGGTGAGGCCATAGAAGCTGACTTCTGGACAGCTTCGAGGAAATTCTGGTCCACCATCCGACGTCTCAGGAGGGGGAAGCAGTGCACCATTAACACTGTGTGCAGTGGGGATGGGGCGCTGACCTCGACTCGGGACATTGTGAGTCGGTGGGCAGAATACTTCGAACACCTCCTCAAGTCCACCAACACGCCTTCCTTAGAGGAAGCAGAGTCTGAGGAATCTGTGGTGGGCTCTCCTATCTCTGGGGTTGAAATCACCAGCGTGGTTAAAAAGCTTGGTGGCAAAGCCCCGGGAATGGATGAGATCCGCCCGGTGTTTCTCAAGGCTCTGGTTGTTGTGGGGCTATCCTAGTTGACACACCTCTGCAACATTGCATGGTCATCGTAGAGAGTGCCTCTGGATTGGCAGACCGGGGAGGTGGTCCCTCTTTTTAAGAAGGGGGACCAGAGGGTGTGTTCCAACTACAGAGGGATCACACTCCTCAGCCTGCCGGGTAAGGTCTATTCAGGCATGTTGGAGAGGAGGGTCCGTCAGGAGTTGAGCCTCAGATTCAGGAGGAGCGGTGTGGTTTTGGTCTCGGCCGTGGAACAGTGGACCAGCTCTACAGCCCTAGCAGGGTCCTCGAGGGTAAGTGTGAACTTGCCCAACCAGTCTACATGTGCTTTGTGGACTTGGAGAAGGTGTTCGACCGTGTCCCTCTGGGAGTTCTGTGGGGGGTGCTTCGGGAGTATCGGGTACCCAACCCCCTGATACGGGCTGTTCGGTCCTTATACCACCGATGTCAGAGTTTGGTTCGCATTGCTGGAATCGTTTCTAGTGAGGATAGTACTGCGCTAACGCTGCCCTTTGTCGCCGATTCTGTTCATAACCTTTTTGGAAAGAATTTCTAGGTGCCGCCAAGGCATTGAGGGGGTATATTTTGGTGGCCTCAGTAGTGCATCTCTGCTTTTTGCAGATGATGTGGTACTGTTGGCTCCTTCAAGCAGGGCTCTCCAACTCTCACTAGAGTAGTTCACAGCCAAGTGTGAAGTGGTTGGGGTGAAAATCAGCACCTCCAAATCTGAAACCATGGTCCTCAGTTGGAAAAGGGGGAGGTGCCCTCTCTGGGTCGAGGAGGGGATCTTGCCCCAAGTGGAGGAGTTTAAGTATCTTGGGGTCTTGTTCACGAGTAAGGGCAGGAGGGAGCGGGAGATTGGCAGGTGGATCGGTGCAGCGTCTGCTGTGATGCGGACATTGTATCGATCTGTCGTGGTGAAGAAGGAGCTGAGCCAAAAGGTGAAGCTCTCAATTGACCGGTCGATCTACATCCCAAGCCTCATCTATGGTCACGAGCTATGGGTCGTGATCGAAAGAACGAGATCTCGGATACAAGCAGCTGAAATGAGTTTTTTCTGCAGCGTGTCCCTTAGAGATAAGGTGAGAACTCGGTCATTCGGGAGGGGCTCAGTCGGTTGCCTCTCCTCCACGTCCAGAGGAGCCAGATGAGGTGGCTCGGGCATCTGATTAGGATGCCTCCTGGACGCCTCCCTGGTGAGGTGTTCTGGGCATGTTCCACCGGCAGGAGGCCCCGGGGATGACCCAGGACACGCTGGAGAGACTATGTCTCTCAGCTGGCCTGGGAATGCCTCGGCATTCCACGGAAAGAGCTGGAAGAATTGGCTGGGGACAGGGAAGTCTGGGCTTCCTTGCTAAAGCTGTTGCCCACGCGACCAGTCCCCAGTTAAGTGGTAGAAAATGGATGGATGGATGGAGATGCAAGGTTTTGCCCACTTCATGTTTGATGTTCATTTTGATTTAATTTCATTTTAATTTAACATGTAGCACATGTTTACTAATGTAACAACTATATACCATGTTATTTAAGAAACAACAAAGAAACAAATGTTTTCAATTAAAAAGAGGTTGTTACCCAACCATTTCCAAATGATATATTTTCAAATTGTAATTGCAATAACGTGAAACTGCGATATTTTTGCTTAAGGTTATTTTCCCACCAGAATATGATGCCGGCTCATGGCAACATAGACAGCATTGTGTTTACATACTTTTTTGTAGCTGAGTCATCCAATAATTGTTCTTGAAGTAAGCGTCATTGCAGAAGGTGTTTGCGAGCAGCACCTGAGAAGAGAGACAAAATGTCACACACACACACACACACACACACACACACACACACACACACACACACACACACACACTTTACAATTAAATGCCTCAATGTTTCTCTTGGAGTCCATTTCAATTTTGTCAATACAGAATTTGTTCTGACTATAATTGGCAATACACAAAAAAAAAAAGGGAAAAAAAAGCAAGAGACTCATGAATCAAAGACTCATTATCAAGGTTTCTGTCATGACAATTTCCCACATGCCTTTGGGAAACCTGATGCATATCTTTTGTTTCATTTCTTCTCTGCAATTCAAAAATGATAGTTTGATGTGAAAACAACACTGTATCATATCTACAGTAAGTGGTGCTACCGAGATGATCTGGTTTTGGGGTTTTATTTCCTGGGTCATTCAATACCAAATCGCCCAATGGGTGTGTACAGATTTCTTATTGATAGTGATGGCATAACACCAAATCTCAAATTTGATGTTAATCGGAGCAGGGGTTTGGCAGCTACGGCTCATCGAATTTTAATTAGCTTGTAAAAAGGGGCGTGGCCACCTTCGTGGAACCCTTTGATCTCAGGACCTACTGAGTCAATCTTCACAAAACAGGTATGACTTGAAAGGGAATTCAACGAGGAATCCCAATATGCAATTACTGGAAATGTATTTTAGTAACTTCACCTTTTGACCAATAATTTGATCAATGTGGTAATATCGCAACGTGCCAATATCCCACCGTTGCCACGGCCACAAAAGGGCCCTTTATAAAGGGCTGTTTATAGCTTCTCACAGCTCTAGTTAGGGCACGAGCAGCGGCCGCTAATAGGTCCCTATTGTTTTTGTAGAAATAATAATAATAAAAGTTATAATTATTAAAAATTCACATTCTCAATTTTTGCAATGGTGTAATGGGTTGGTCTTCTGATCCAAGTTTGGGTGTACACATACCTCATGGTCATGATTCCTAAGGCCGAGTCTGATGGAACGACTACTTCTAGACAGGACAGCGGTCATGGCATACAGGTTGATAAGCACATCTGCTACTTTCTTCAGAATGAGTTGTTCATCCATAATTGTCTAATAACATAAAAAAGGAACAATACCATTTTTGGGGTTGAGTGCAAATTTGGGGTGTGCGACATGAACACAATTTCATACGTCAACAGTCTTTCCAGATATCTTGAAAACGATGTGAAAACGAAATCGCTATGGGTTCAGTGAAAATTAAGCATGTTTTCACAACAAAATAAAAATCCAAAAGGACGTGGAAAGTCCTTTTTTTTTTAATGATAACTTCTTGACAGCCATTCAACATTTTAAAAACAGCAGATTCTCATTCTACTGCAACTGAGCTTTTATACGACCACAGAAGTGTTTGTTGTGCTCGTGTGTGTGTGCATGTGTCCGTCCATGTGTGAACTGCATCATGTGCGTTGTTTTGTGTGTGTGCGCACACACACACGCACACACACACACACACACACTGATACACACACATTTTATTTTTTGTTCTGACATTCTGACATTACTACTGCTGTAATCACAATAACAGTTATGAATCTTCAAATATAAAAATGTATTGCATTTTAGTTTCCACAGTGACAATCAGAATGTATCAGTCATTATAATAAAAAACTGTTTTTGATCCATCCATTATCTGATCCGCTTATCCTCACGAGGGTTGGAGGGTTGTGCTGGAGCGTATTCCAGCTGTCTTCGGGTCGCAGGCGGGGGGACACCCTGAACTGGTTGCCAGCCAATCGCAGGGCACACGTTGACAAACGACCATTCGTGCTCACACTCACACCTAGGGGCAATTTAGAGTGTTCCACCAACCTGCTATACATGTTTTTGGAATGTGGGAGAAAACTGGAGTACCTGGAGAAAACCCAGCAAGGCATGGGGAAAACATGCAAACTCTACACAGTCTGGGTCTGGAATCGAACCCATGACCTTTGAACTCCACTGTGAAGCGGAAATGCTCATCAGTCTACCTCCATGCCACACACTTTGGTGTTTTAAACATTTTTAGTTTATATAACATCTGAAAGTGCATAATGGAGCAAAATACAGAAAAAAAATTATACACGCTCAGCACAGCCTTTCTGATGGCGAGGTGGACCGTATGTTAAAAGCCCAGGATAGCAAGTTATGAACACGCATTGTCCCTCGGTGCATGTACCATAGCTGTAGTCTTCTTTTTTGTTTCACTGTGTTTCATGTTCGATTATTAATTTTTTTTGCATTAAATATCTCAAGCTCATGCCCACCACTGCTGAAATCGGCCACATCCTCCGTTAAGCAGTTGATTAAATTCTACCCCGAAATTGAAAACCTTTATAAATAGAATCTAATCATTATTTGGTTCAGTTTTTCATTTTTTCAGAAAAAAATTGAAAATGTACTTATGCTATTGTTTTAGGAAGGTGTCAATATATTTAATGGTGACACAGTCCGATTGTGATCAGTTCGTCAGTCATCATTCCGTCATTATTTCAGGCCGGCCTCATCTGTCTCAACCATCTGTGACAGCCTATCCGTGTCATATAAACGTATCTAAAGCTACTACTTCACATGCAGGCACAACAAGCAGACACTAAGCCCCCAAAAAGTTTTTAAAAATGCGTCTGTCTCACAGACTGCAATGACATTGTCCCGTATTGTTTTTATTTCACCAATCACCATGACGATGGGTGGAGTGGGCCCACGTGGGCCATCCTGAAATGATGACGGAATGCCGACGATGGACTGAGGTGCCCATTTTGCTGGTCAAAATTGGATGTTGTCTGCTTTAACGCTGTTCCAGCCAGACGTGTGTGCAATCGATCACACAAGCATTGAAATGTGATGTTAAACACGCTAGCTATATCGTTCTTAGGTTAGCTTAGCAATTAGCATGGCTTCTCTGTCTTTTCTCGTCACCTAGTGTGTATGAAATGTCGCTTATTCGCCGCCACGGAGTTAATGATTACAGTCCGACAGAACTTCCCTCGAGGTCCCCACTATCCGTGGTAGATGACAACCAGTGATGCGAAAGTGCTTATTTCGAGCTTTGACTTTTGATGGTTAGAAATTGATCGTTTTTCTAAGAACAACAGATAGGCCAAAAGGAACAACGGTTGAACATTCATCGACCAAAATGGCTTTTGTGGAATTTAAAGAATACAAGTTAAACGCTACCTTTCCATATCTGTACAACAGGCTCTCCACAGTTGATCCAAAAAGATGAACATTCTGTTCAAACTTCTGTGCACTTTCCTGTAAAAAGAAATTACAGAAAGTTAAAAACAACAATACTTCCATACAATATAGTGCGAATGAAAAAGCTCCTACAGCTAAACTTGGATGAACCACTTCATTCTTTCCCGAGAGGACAGAGTCTGGGACACTTCCAAGTGAGTTTCTCAACTTTTTACCAATCATTCCCAAAGCCAGACCGATATTTCCTTTCTTCATCTCTCTGGAAGCAGAACAAAAATACTTCAGACACAGAATAAGGCAAGGTACGCACATATCAACAATCAGACCAAATTGAACATTATTTGCATATCCATCCATCCATCCATCCATCCATCCATCCATCCATCCATCCATCCATCCATCCATCCATTTTCTAATCCGCTTATCCACACGAGGATGGTGGGCGTATTGGAGCCTATCCCAGCTGTCTTCGGGCAGCAGGCGGGGCACTCCCTAAACTGGTCGCCAGCCAATCTGTTATATCTTACACATACAGCACATTTGACAATAAAGTTGTATCCAATCCAATCGCAGGGCGCACATAGATGAACAACCATCTACGCTCACACTCACTTACACTCAGGGACAATTTAGAGTGTTCTATTAACCTGCCATGTATGTTTTTGGAATGTGGGAGGAAACCAGAGTACCTGGAGAAAACCCATGCAGGCACAGGGAGAACATGAGAACTTCACACAGGAAGGCCGGAGCAGGAACTGAAACTTGGACCTCTGTTCAGTGAGGATGATGAGCTAACTGTGTACAGTTCTTTTTCTGAAACATTTATTTATTTTGTGCATGCAACACTGAGTTTTTTTTCTTTTCTCCCCCCCCCCCCCCACCGCACACGCCCCAATTTTGCTGCTGTAGACTGCAAATTTCCCCAGCGTGGGACAAATAAAGGGACAAATCTTATCTTATCTTTATGTATGTTTGGTTTGTTTGTTTTCCCCGGCCGCAGCGCTTCTTGTTTTCATGACAGCCGCACATCCTGCCTCCTCAAATAGCTGGTTTGTGATTGGTCCGCAAAACCAGTGCTGCGGTTCGGAGCAAATCAGTGGACTTGGGACGAGGGCTCACAGGGTTTTGTGAACTCACAAATTCTGAGAGAATTCATCTTGCAGGTATGGTTACATTCCAAAGGAAGGTACTGGCAACGGAAAAAGGTTCAATCGCCTCTGAGGCTTTGCTTTGCCCTGGGTACCTCCAGCAGTGTCTGGTTCGCTGAGTTCAAGCACCAGGCAGGTACGTAGGCACTACTGAGCATGAATGACTTCATGAATATCGGTACTTACTGTATGTTTTTATGTCCAAAATGTGCATTTTGTTAAAATGGCCTTTCTTGTGGCTCCAAATGCCAGAGACATTCCTTGTGGGTTTTAACATACTTGGCCAATGTCGATGTTTCTGATTCAGACTTTGATTTGGCATGCACTAATAGCATAATGAGGGAAACAAATAATGAATATATGTCAGTACTGTTATGCATTTCGACAGAACAGGGCCAGGTCTTTCCAGCCTCATCATTGTTGAAAAATACCTTTTTTCTTTCTCTTCCAAATGCATGACATTTAACAGCAGATTGAAATGCATTCTTTAAAAAAAAAAAGGAACAATCCATCAAATACAAGCATAATCAATTATGTCACTTTTCCACTTACTTGATTTTACTTGTGAGGATTTTGCCAGCATACTGCATTCCAGTAAGTGCGATGTACATTCTCAGAATTTCATTGGTACCCTGAAAACAAACAGAAAACAAAATTCAGCTACGTATTTCAAGTTGCTGTGCGAAAAACAAAAATTCCCCGAATGAATTTCACAAAATTACAAGTCACTGTTATTGGACATTTAAAACCTGATATATAACTGTCATTTAATCAAAGCAAAGTGCGCATCTATATTTAAGTTGACAGACATGTCACAACTAAAAATAACGGTGTTGTAGATTGGATGAATAGTAGTAGTCTTCTCTTAACAATTAGGTGACGAAGTATTTAATCAGTGAAACACTTTTTTTTGCACCCCCACAATGGACTTGAAATAAATTGGCGAAACAGTTGGCATCCCTATTGAGTAAATGTCACAGTCATCATGCCCAAACTGTGGCCAGTCAAAGGTGAAATCCTCTTGATCTCCTCCATGAAGACATATATGAGCCGGTGTGGGTTCAAGCTTGAGGAAGTCTGAGAAGTTCTCACTTAGGTTCAGCCCAATGGATATCCAGGTATATGCCCATACCTGTCCCATGTGCATCATTACAGTACAGCACAACTGTACATTTCACTTAATCCTGCCATGCAGGTCTTATGATTCATATCAATTCATATCAATCCACAAGTTAAATTCTTCATTAAAATAATTTGGAAAAGGTTCCAATTAAAGTATTTATCGTAATTTCCGGATTACAAGCCGCTATTTTTTTCCACACTTCCAACACTGCTGTGTGTAATATGAAGCGGCTTTTTAATTTTTTTTTTCCATCGCGGTAAAAACATGGACCAATAAAATGAATGAGTCTTTCACTGAGGTCCAATGACATTGTATGACTAATCACAACTTCTGCTCTTTTTACCGTAGCGGGGGAAAAAATGTGTTACTCGGCAACAGTCGACCAATAAAATGAATGAGTAGTACACAGGGGTCCAATGAAATTGTATGATTACCGGTAATCACAACTTCCTTATTTCAGTCTTTCTTCTAACCCTGATCAACATGGAGAATACTAGACGAAAAGCATATGATGCAGCTTTTAAACTAAAAGCGATCACTCTGGCAGTTAAAGAAGAACATCGAGCTGCTGCCCGTAATCTTGGCATTGACGAGTTGATGGTGCGAAGCACTGAGCCAGTGTAAAAAGACAACCAAAAA